ATCTTATTTTACATATTTTGTTAAAAGGCCAAATAGACACTTCAAACCAAAAAAAGTCACTTTCTGTTTTGTTTTATTCTCGGATCAGGCTTTAAAGGGTTAAAGGACTGCTTATCCGACACGGCTGAAGGTCAAAAGAAACCATTAGCCTGGACGCTCATTAAGACGTTAAACGAAAAACAAAACAAGAAGTCCGAAAATGGGAGAGAGACGACCTGAAGATTTACGTCCGTGACCTTTTCCCCCGGCACCCCTCACCCTTCGCCTGTCCCCCGTTCATCCCTCCATCCACGCCCCCTTTCTCTTTCTCCCTCTGAGCCATAAATCAGCTCCTCGTTCAGTTGGAGGTGTCATGGCCGACACGCCCACTGGGCCCCGGACCAGACTGCTCCTTTTTTCTAATGCAGAAGGTAGCCGGGTAAATAACACAGTGGCACTTTAAGTTTGATAAGAAATCCAGCCTTATTTATTTGCTTGTATTTCAAACACTGCAGAACAAACTGAGTTTTGAGAATCAGGAAATTGAAACATGTCAATTTATCTTGAGTTCATTTCAAACAAAGGGACCTAAGTCTAGTTTTGATAGAGCCTATGCTTCTTTGTTAAAGATTGTTTGCCAAATAAATGATGCACATCTTGGAATTAGCACTGTCTCATCTCTTGCAATGCCAAAATCTCACCTACTTTTAACCTAAGACTGTCACAATGATGTATCAAATGTCAGACTGCTTTTTTCTTTCAGTTTTAACCTGACTATACAAGACATAATAGATTTACCTAACAATCAACATATACCGAACCGAACCGAAAACCGTGACCACGAAACCGTGAATCGAACAGAACCGTGGATTTTGTGAACCGTCCCACCCCTAGTCTGTGTCCCCGTTTGCTCGTTCCAAAGCGATTCACCCCAATTTCCATGTTAATTTGCTCCCTGACAGCTGAGATGGATGTGAGGCTCCTCTGGCTGAGGACGATCACCGTGTAACGTTCGTGATTTCCTCCTTTGTTCAAGTCCGTCTGTCTGCAGGAAGCCGAGGATGGATATCCGACTCCGCCCACATCCACGTCGGCCATTTTGATTAGGTCACCAATAGGAAGATCCCAGGCAAGAAAATCGTAATTGCTTCATGGCAATATAGACATTAATTTAAAAATAGTGAAATTCATCTTGCAAACACTGAATTAAACTCTATACATAATATTATGTTAAAATAGTGGATGTTAAATAGGTTTGTACAATAAATCCAAACAAGTTTAACCAAAAAATATTTATTTCTCACAATTATGAAGGGTAGAGGGTTAGGGTTAGAGTTAGGGTCAGGGTTAGGGTGGAGGGTTAGGGTCAGGGTTAGGGTTAGGTTTAGCTATAGGGTAAGGGTTAGGATTAGGGTTAGGGTTAGGGTCAGGGTTAGGGTTAGGATTAGGTTTAGGGTCAGGGTTAGGATTAGGGTCAGGGTTAGGATAAGGGTTAGTGTCAGGGTCAGGGTTAGGGTTAGGGTTAGGATTAGGGTTAGGTTTAGCTTTAGGGTTAGGACATCGTTTGTCTTCTGATTTCGTACAGACAGTAGAGTTTCGTTTCCACCTGAGAAAGCTGCTAGTCACATGACCTAATCAAAATGGCCGACTTGGATGTGGGAGGAGTTGGATCTCCAACCGAGGCTCCTACAAACTGCCGCCAGACGCTGCTCCCTTTGTTTGCTGCGTGTTGAACCCTCAGGGCCACCGTAGGGCAGGACAGGAGGAACCCGCCTTCCACAAAGAGACCTGAGGCTGCTTTTTACTTCTTGCTTTTTACTCGTTTGGTTTCAGTTGTGTTTCCAGATCTTGTGACCCAGTAACTACCCAACCCGGTTCCCCCCACGGATCAATAAACCTCCACTGTCATCCATCCATTTGATAAAAGCAAACGCGGGACAGCCGGTGGGAGCGACACGTCCACTAATAAATACTGTCCGGCTCTCCACAGGGCTTCAAATCTGACCTATTAAAGCCACATATCTATCATTTTTATTTATTTAAGGAAAAACTTTAGCCAACACACAGAAGCTGTGAGGAAAACTCACCCCCCCCTCGAGAACCGGCTCCTTTATCAGCTCCTTCATCAGCAGGAAGGTGGAGTGATGGTTTCTGGGTGGTGTCATCAGTCTTTCTGGTGGCTGTGGAGGACTTTGTTCCTTTTTCCTTCCCGTGGTGGCGGTTCTACTTCTGACTGAAGACTTCAGGATCCGGAGCAGTTCGCAGAGGGCTTCAGAAGCAGCCCAGATCATCATCCCTCCCCCGCCGTGCCGACGGCTGTCTGCGTTTGGTTTCTTAGGATCTGAGCGAACGTCTCCTCTTTGCTCTTCTTTTTGTTCAGACATGTTTTGTTTGTCCAGAGAAGAGGCCTCCTAATTAGGCTTATCCCAATCCGATATTCGGATCGGACCGGGTGAGGATATTCGCAAAAAAATGCATATCGGACGGCAGGAGAAAAAGCCGTCTAAAGTATCTATCTATCTATCTATCTATCTATCTATCTATCTATCTATCTATCTATCTATCTATCTATCTA